TATATATATATATATACAGGGTGTTGACAAACAGGCAGAGAAAAACTGTTGGCGTGTGAAATGATGGAAAACCAAAATGCAATTGAAAGAAAAAGTGAACGCTGTAAAGTGAGAATTGCATAAGAAAACACTCAAATGAAAGAGAAGGAGGAGGCAGAGCATAGGGTACACTGGCGGGACAGCATTGTGTACACATTTAATTATAACATTACCAAGTTGGTTAAGTTCCCACTTGATCAACTGATCAACAGTCCAGTCACGTCAATGGGGCAACAATTAAAAACTATTTGCGGCCTGATAATGACAATTATGTCATGGATGGTGATGAGTGCGAGCAAGCAGGCAATATACGCGGCGCTCTTTCCCACACGTAAATGTAGATATGCTCATATATAGCTAGGCCGTAACGATTCAGTGATCCAGCCATATAAGGCTGGTCGGTCGCAAAGGCGACAATTGCGTGTAACGGCATTCGGTTTGTAATCGTAATACAGCTTGGAGAGGTGTTTGTTGTTGTTGTTGTTTTTGCTGCTGTTGTCGGCGTCGGTTCAGGTATCTTATGACAATGACTCAGATGATTCTTAAAGCCATTTATGGCATTTTACATTTGGTTATAACAGCGACGACTGCAAAACGCCTTGACCCCAATGAATGTGGAGACGACTTACCACCCGAAATGCAAGTTCCGAATGCGAGAAATTCATGTTAACGAGTCGCGAATGCTCTGTAAAAAAAGATAAGTATTCTGATTAGGTGAAAGTACTTTTGATTAAAGCTGTATTGAATATAGAAAAAAGCATTTTTAATATGAAGCCCATGAAGTGGATGAAATATTCGAAGACATTTTCCATAGATTCTTGAATAGAGTAAAGAATATTGAACACAATTAAAGCAAACTACAGTGTAGCCTCGCCTTTGATTAGTAGTCGATATTGTATAAGCATGTCTTAGGGAGGCCTGACTGTGTTTATACAAACACTTTGCCTATATGTGATCAAAGTTTTCAGCATATTGAAGAAAGTATCTTAAGCGAAAGTAGAAAATATATACAGATGATTTAACTAGACTGGTTTCTTGGGAATAAAATGTATGACGGAATGCAAAATATTATATATGATACGTATGATAGACATGATTTATATGATATAGATATAGATATCTTCATATGCTTGGCAGCATAGCTGATGACAAAATTCTTAAAGCCCCTGTGGATAAGCATCTCCAACAACAACTACAACAACAACAACATCAACAACTGGAACTGCAAACAGTTGCAAATGAAACAGAGCGTGTACAACATATGCCTAAACCTGAGCGCTTTTTGTAGAGGTGGGTGCAGACATTGAGCTGGGGGTGTAGGTGGGGGCTGGTGGGTTTTTAGTGGTGGAGTCGTGTTAAATTGACCGAAACGCGACGCAGCAAACTTGAACTTAATTTGGCGCGCTTTGGAAGGCTAGACCCGCACGTTAAGGCAGATGCCAAAAAACTTGGAATTTGTGTGTTCAGAAGTTGTGCGTTTTCGGTAGCAGTGTGTACACACATGCAAGTATAAGTGAGTGTGTGTGTGTGTGTTACACTGAGCCAATAGCAGCGGAAGCAGTGGAAGTCGTTTAATTCTGCCTCTGCTGCTTTCACTTCCGCTTCATCAGCTAGCTAGCTGGCTGGCTAGCTGTCTGCTCCCGTATCATCACGCCTACCCTGATTATCAGCCACTGCACTGCATCATCATCATCATCAGCAGCAGCAGCAGCATCATCATCATGAACAACATGAACAGCAGGTTGAGCAAACTGACAGCTGGAAGTGGGTTTCGCTTACAGCACAGACGAAAACACGTGGGTAGCACAAGTATGCTCCACTTCCAACTTGAACGCAGCTCTGCCTACTCTTCCTCCTTCTCCAACTCTAGTTAATAAAAGTTGTGTTTTCACTTCAGCATTTGATATATGTTTCCTTTTTGGAATCTTCATGTTGCATTCTCTCCAACTAGACAGTTGATAGGCAACTCAGATGCCATATGCCATATGCCATATGCCACATGCCAACTGCCAGCCGCTTTACGAGAATCGCATTTCGATTTCGTACGTGTGAATTGTGCTATATTAGAAAGTGTTTTGTCGGTCTCCATTCCAAAGAAAAGAAGTCAAGAATGCGCGTTAAGATTCAACTGAAATATTTATACTCGTTTACAAGCTGAAAAGGGGTATATTCCTCTTACCAAGCGATGATTGAGCAGATAAGACTTAGTCTTATGGCTAATTTGTATTATTGCTTGAGTTAATTTCACTTAAGGCACACTTAAAGCCAGTCGCATCATTTGACACTTTATGTTGCTCTATAAATAGATTTTAGTTGCTTCGTGTTTATTTCGCCATTGTTATTTGTTGTTGTTTGTGGTGTTGCACTCATTTGTCATTCGGTTAGGTCGCTTTGACTCTGGTAATCCAATCCGTTCGTGTTCGCAGCTAACCATGCCAAATCGCCAATCCCCAAACCCCGAGCACCCAACTCGAAGCCGAAGTCCGAAACCCGCAGCTCCCTAGCCCATAGCCAAAGCCCCAATTCCCGCTCAGTTGGCTTACTTTATGGGTCTTTCTCTCGCCCTCTCTGTCTGGGCTGTGGCTCATGCCAATTGTTAGTTTTTTATTGTCGCGCTGTGAAGACGTTTAAAATGTTGAAAGCGTGCAAATTCGAATGCAAATTCAACACCTCGACAACAACAAGGGAAACAGCATGGAACGCTTAAGGTTTTTTTTATATTTTTGGAAATTGAGCCTCAAATTGAAAATCAAGACGAGAAGCGAGCGGCATATGAAAAGTGGGTTAAAGCGAGCATAGAAAATAAATGCAGTCCGCTTCACAAAGCGATTACCTCACTCAGACACACATGCACACACACGCACACACAGAGCAACAGGCACAACTGCATTTTATTGTGAAAGTGAAATTGAATTTTTGTGACGGTCATCAAAACCTCATCAAAAGTCATAGGGGAAACACATGAATTGTGAGAAATACTATTGCATTCTCTCTCTCCCGCTCTCTCTCATCGACCTCACTCACGCTCCCTCTCTTTCTCTGTCATGTTCAATGACTTTCCTACTGGTTACATATGCGCCACACGCAGCATACAAAATGTAAAGAAAAAAACACAAGTAGGAATATTTTAAACGTCAGTGCACGACTAGAAGTTACCCTGGCCTAACATATATATCAGCAGCCTATGCATGATCACTTCAATTAGACCATTAAAATTAGTAAAATTAGCTATATTTATCTAATTTCAGTGAGAAACTAAATTTAGTTATAATATCTACAGTAGGCGTATGCATATACCCAGCTTTTATATCTTGTGACTTAAGCTTTTGGTTCAGTTGAAAACTTTCAAGTCATCAACAACGCAACGTTAAGTTAAATCCGTTGATTTATTAAAACTTTTCTTGGACCCTTGCGACTTACGGCTACTCGTACCGATGGCCATTCCCATTCCAATGGAGCTCCAGTGGAACTGTGGAATGTGGTTGCCTTTAGCCCCCAGTGGGTTGGTTGCCATTGAGAGTGTGTGTTTTTGGCCAAACGGGTTTTCCCATTGCCAACTCTGCGACTCTTTGGTGATGAAACCGCAATCACTTCATCACTTTACGTCTGGTTTGCGTCTACGCTATTTATGGTTGCTGTCTATGCTCTATGTGAGTGTGTCTGTCTGTGTTGGTGAAACCAATTAACGCATTTTTCTCGCATATTTCGCGCTATATGCCGCTCGCTAATCCGCAGACAAGTTAATCGTTTGTTGACCTCCAACTCAAGTCTCCAAGCTGGCTAACAGGCTGAGCGACCGCAAGACGGCAGGAATAAAACTTCTCACAAATTTGCATAACACGTCGTCTGCTTGCATTGAGTTGCATCTCTTTGAAGCGCAGCCACCAATGACAATTGTGCCCCTGCACCAGTCCCTCGACCCAATCTCTTATTTTCTCTGCCAGCAATGACAATTATCCCCCTGCCCCCCCTCCTCGCTCCGCCTGTCGCCTGGCTGGCTAAGCTGCCTGTCTGCTGCGAATTTTTTTGCGCAGTCCGCACAAATTAGAGAGCTAAGAATAAGTTGCTGCAGCTGAAGCTTATCAATAGAGGTGAAAGATTTGACGGTTAGAGCCAGTTTATGAAGTTGCTTCATTAAGCGGGCTCTGACGTCTATTTATAGAACAGTTAATACGAAAACTTCTCAGAGATTTGGTTAAGATTCTGCATTCATAATTCAGGAAATTATCACACTGCACTGTGTTACAGGGTAACTTATGGACAATCAACTTGCATCTTTTTCTTGGCATTTTAAATGCGAACAAGTTCTGAAAGAACTTTTGATTCAACAACTTATAAGTGCTTATCTACCAATTTGGCCAGCTCTGGCCCCTTGGCCACATACACAGCCACATCCTCAAGTACGCCCACCAGCTACCGCAGACCCGAAACCAAAGGCCGAAGACCAATTAGAGACTAACCAGAGAAAGCCAAAAATCTTTTCAAGTTTTAGTTTTTATGCTCATCTCGGGTTTTAGTTTTAGTTTTTAGTTGCATTGCGCCAATTTAACAAGGCACAAAGAACAATAATAACTGAGAGCAGCGGGCAATGAAACTCTACGAATTGGATCAGCAGAAATGCTAGACTAGCGGATACCCTGCAGTCTAAGCAGATACCTGGAATCTATCTATAAATATGGTTTTTGATTTCAAGCTTAGCTGGCTTATATATATAATTATTTATTTATCTAGAGTATAAACACATTATTTATAAATATAGTTTTTAGTTTCTACTTCCTTGAATTGGTTGCAAGTTCCCCCTTTAGCGTGGCATCAATATACCCGCTTTGCACACATATATTTTATTTGCCCAGAGTATAAGTACAACAATTTCTTATTTTTTGCCCCATTCGACTGGCGTACAAATTTGCTAACAATTTTCCTCTAATTCTTGCTCTTTCCTTTGCTCTATTCCGTTTCAGACATGGCACAAAACGTGTTTCAAATGCACAGAATGCGGAATGGCGCTCAATATGAAAACCTACAAGGGCTACAACAAAATGCCATACTGCGAAGCGTAAGTATTATAACTGAATGCAAATACCCTGCACTACAAAGTTGTTGTTTTGGGTAGCTTATGGACGGAGGGAGGGAGGGAGGGAGGGGGTGTTGGGTTGGGGGAGTAGGGCTTAAGCATGCCAACCTTGACGTACAATCTTCATTAGCGTCGTTTATCTTATCTGCGAGCTGTCCGAACAGAGATAAGTAGCAGACGGCAATAGCAGCTACTTCTATAGAGAATCTCGAGCAACAGCTGTCCAGGTAACAGCAGCAGCGGCGCGACGCTGACGGCGGCAGCTGGCACTTGTCACGTGCTGTTGCCGCACGAATTGCTGAATTGCAGCTGTTAAAAAGGTGCGGAAATGCGGCGACACTTTAGTGAAAGACGCACACACACACACACGGACACAAATACACTCGCACTGTTGCAATTGCCCCTGCAGCATTGCAGCAACTTTAACCCCGTTAGGAGCGCGATTTGTATGCACTGAACCCAAATGAAAAACGGGAGTATCTGGCCCTATGAAAATGTATATGACAGGCAGAGATAGATGTGGCTCAGACCAAAGCCTTAACTTCCATTAGAATCAGCAAATGAGTCAATCTAGAGCTTATCCGATCTCAGCAAATATATGATCTAGAGACGATCTTATTTTAGTTATTTCAGCGTATCTTAAATGATTTAAAAGCTTAACTAACTTAATATAGAATATATTGTTCCTAAGTCTATACAAATTCCGAACACTTCCACTCCTTTTTTTGTGGATATTAAGCCCTATTCCCAATCTATATCTACCTTCATTTATTGCTACCAAATTAGGCACGTGGACAGAGGTTTGTCCACCTTTGAAATACCAAATTCAACGAGTATATTTTAGTTGGACACACCCAGCTAGAACGCTCTATGACTCTGTTGCACAAGGGGCAGGCACTGTGCCACTGCCACTGCCACGCCCCAATGTTATTGTTCCAGCCAACGTGTGGTATTGTTTGTCTCTATGTCGTTGTTGCTGTTGTTGTTGTTGTCACATATTGTGACCATTGTGCCTAGTGGTTATCCAGAGCTTGCCACATACACACACGCACACTAACACACTGTTGTTGCCACTGCAGTGCGTGGCGTCCGTTCCCGTTTATTGGCCTTGAGCCAAGCGGGCTGCAAACTGCAACAGCAATGGGCCACGGGCCACGTTCTCTAATGCAGATTTATTGTGGATGCCACCGCTGCGGGAATAAAAATTCCATGCGGATTGAGTTATGCGTCCGTTAGCTTTTGCTCTGACGCAGTGGCCAGCACGCAGTACCCAGCACCCAGCGCCCAATACTCCTCATTGCTGCCTCCAATCCTGGATGATGTCATGTTGGCTCAAATGGGGCGTGGCTTGTCTTCCGTTTTAGCACTTTCACTGCAGTCAACGCCTTAGAGCCATTTGCACCTTACGTGCTGCCACGTTCCGGCGGAATCTACAATTGCCGCTGCTGGTGGCTTTTCGATTCTCTCCTGTTCGGGACTTTATAATTGCTTGAGAAGTTTTCCAACAGTTTTCTTTCTCTGACTTTGCAAGTTTCACAGCCACTTTGGGGTCAGCAGAAAAGCCAAAGTTTTCTTGCCCTCAATGGAATAACGATTGTAATAAATTATGAACTACGAAACTGCTAAAGAGATTTAAAGCGCCGGAGACATGCAATTATACTTGCCACATGTGGAGCGCCACATGGAATTGGGATTTTAATTGGATAAGTGAAGTAGAGGGAAGAATTTTAGAATAGAATTTTAACACTGCAAAAAAATTAATGATAATGATTAAATAATAAAAAAAAAATTAATTTTATTCTAATAAAAAAATATAAAATAAATAATAAAAAAATAAAAATTAAATAAAATAAAAAAATAATAAATAAAATTAAAATAAAATAAAATAAAATAATACAAATGTTTTATATAAAGAAAAAATAAACATAAAATATAAAACATATATTTTTGTATTAATTTATCAAAAATATAAAATGTAACTTTAGAAATTTATAAAACATTTTCTCAGTGTACAATCAATTATTTGAGATTAAAGACAATAATTCATGAGTAACAGCGAATAAGTGTAATTGGCTATGTGAGCACATTGAATTGTTTTGCTTAAGGATAACTGGCAGTTGAAGCTAGTTCTAAAACTAATTGAAAGTCCTGGCAACAGTTTCTGAAGAGTCCAAAAGTTCACATTGTGCACATTTCTAGGCATAGAAATGTCTTCACATTTGCAGCTGCTCCGCTGCGCTCTTAACTTTCTCTCTCTATTATGGATGTAACCCAATTGTGTCTTGTCGAAAAGTAAACCTGCACATGCGGCACAGGCACAGGCACAGGACACACAACAAACACACACACACACACACAGAAGCAGCGGCTTTTTGAAGTCGTGTATCCATTACATTACCAGGTTCTTCCATTTAGTTGGAATTGAACTAGAAAACGAGTTGAGTTTACTGGGTTTGTGTTGGCCTCTTTTGCAATTTCCACATTTATTATATTTATATATATATCTATATGTGTGTGTGTGTCTGTTATATTTCTTTACAAATTCAGATTTGTTGTGCTTTCATTCATTTTTCATGTGAACAAAATTGGGAGAGAACCGACTGAAAGCATCTGCAATACACAACGAGCCCATCTTTCATGTTTTGTATTTTCGGCATTTCGTATTATATTCGCATTTGCACATTTATTTATTAACATAAATAATCAGTGAACCATGGCCATGCCCTCGGTTACCAAAAACATTTCCAATTTCTACAATGTGTGCTCCACATACCTCAGCTCAGGCCTCTTTTATTCGATTTTGTTTTTGTATTCGAAAGTTCTTCTTCTCGTTTTGTGTGTCAATTCTCTTCGCTTTATTTTCGTTCACTTTCATTCGGAATAAAAATCAGCTATATGTGAGCCTCTAGATATTTTTATATATATATTTATAACTGTGCCCCATTAGCCGCTTCTTTTTTTTTTTGATTACTTAAGCCGCCTACAATGGAAAGCCAAAACCTTTTCAATTACCAAAAAAAAAATTAAAAGCTGTTGGCCTGTTGGCTTTGCCTCTTTTTATGCTAAACAACACATGAACAATAGAGGAGAGCACACAAAACACAAATGAGAGCTGGGTGTGTTGCCTACAACCCAAATACCCTGCCCTGCCCTCACTCTCTCTCTCTCTCTCTATCTCTCTTTCTCTTCTTCTACCTTTGTCTCTTCTCATATGATATTTAAATCTCGACCTAGAGTTAACCATATTCCGAGTACCCTCAGTCACTCGTTCTCTCTGTCTCTCTCTCTATACCTCTCCTCTCTTCATGTATGGCATTTAAAATCTTGACATACGCAACCCGTTGCCCACCCAAAAATCCGATAATGCATTTCAAGCCCCTCATACGTAGCAGCTACCCCACAAATTCATTTTGGCTTTTTCGAATCTTTGCAGCCTCATAATTGACTTGTTGCCTCCCCTCCCCCGCAGGCGTTTATCGTGCTTCGGCTGATTATGTGCCAAGCTGTGCGTTTAATCGCATTTCAATTCATTTTTACGCTCTGACCTGGCAATTATCGCAGTTTCCCCTTGTTAAATGAGCTTCGCATGAAATTTGCATATCACGAAAGTTTTCTCTTGCTCCATTTGCATTTAAAGCGCTTCGAAAATTGATTCATATATGATTTCGTGAGTGTCTGTTATCTAACAATTGGGATCCTTCCTGCAAGTCAATTTTAATTAAAACTTAATTAAACAAATCAGTGCTTAATGCATAGTTGTTGTAATTCTCGATGTTCCCCTCTCTCTCTCCGCTCTCTCTGCACTCTTCTAGCTGTTTCCTGCTTAATTTCCTCATGTTCTTTGTTGAGGCTTTGCCTGGTGTCCTGTTTGCCCGACCGGCCAGCCCATTGATCAAAATGTTAACCAACAAAAGGCTTGTCACAGCAGAAATTCCACAACAATCCACAAATCACATGCAAAAAATGTGGACATCCAATGAATGTCCAGCTCCTCCTTTCCTTTGCACATCCTCGCGTTGGGTTATTTGTTTCGTTTGTTGGTCAGTTTGTCGTGGTCCACATTCAGCCCGCTTGCTACTATCGAGGCGCCCACATCAACAGCAATTTACGTTTAAGTTATAAACAGTACACAAAATGACATGCAACGGCTGACATATGACAGTTTGAGCGACTAACAGATGCGCTGCAATCAGAGCGGTAAATCTGATGGATATATGGAACATAATGAAGATAACTATTGCTAAATATGGAAGTCTATATATGAAGGGAAAGGCATTGCTTATAAATGTTATTAACAGCGCTTTAAATATGTACAGTTGCTTAACAGAGCTTGTCAGCTTTCGAAATGTTGACTAAAGTTGAAAGGTTTATTAAATATAATAAGGTAATTAAAATATAAAAATGTAATTAACAGAGACTTAACATACTGTTAACATTTATCACATCAAATTGCCTGATAGGATTGGCTTTGCATGCAAATGTTAATAACAGTTTTAAGCATTAACATAAACATGTTAATAACAGCATTCTACAATTGATAGACTTTAACATGTTTATACCGAACTGATTTATTTATTATTTTAGCTAGTTGATATATGTGCTGATGCATTAGACTGATGCAGACTATAGACATATATCTAAAATGTCATTTTGTCTGTATACAAAATGTTGTTTACAGGATATTAAAACACGATGACAACAAAAAATGTTTACACTATGCGAAGTGTGCGCTGCAGCAGCACTGCTGCAGTTGTTGTTGTATATATATATATATATATATATTGTTTACAGATAAATTAAAATTCTTTGATAGTAAAAAGTAAAGCAGCAATAACAACAACAATAGTTGCATGTCACGCACAGCAGCTGCTCTGGTTGCTGGCGTGCGTGTTGCTGCCGTTGCTACTGCTGCTGCTGCTGCTGCTGTTGATCTATTGGGAACGTGCCGAGACATCCGCTGTAACTCTGCTCTGGCCAATGCAGCCGCTGGCGCTTAAGCATTGTTATGTCATCATCAGCCAGCTAACAGCAACAAGAACAACAACAGCAACAACTGCGGCCAACACAATGTGCACCAACAATAACAGCAACAACATGAGCTTTTGTTACAGCATTAAAGCAAAGCCTGCAACGGCAACAGCCAACAGCCAACAACTTGCGCCGCAGACCTACATGCATGAGCGACCGGTCATTGGTCATTAAACGGCCTTGCGCCACTGCACCACTGCACCACCCACAAATTGGAATTGAGGGTTGCACAACCAGCAGCAGCGCACGGCATTAGCAGCTGCTATGGAATTTGCACAAATAGAGATACAAATATTAAACTATATAATTGTAAGGCAAAGCCGCCCTGCCGCCCCCTTTGGCGTTCCAATGGTGTCTACAACAACTGGCGACAGCTGTGCTCGATATACGCACGATAAATCCATAAATATTCTATAAGCCAATTTAGTTGCGCGCAATTACAATTACTGTTTGAATGGAGCATAGAGCGCGGGATGTGGCCAAGGCGCCACAGGGGGTAAGGGTTAAGGAATGGGTTTATCAACCTTTGGCTGGCTGTTGTCGCTGTGGTTGTTGCTGTTGCTGTGGTTATCAGTCGCTGCAATCAATCGATCGATTAGCCAACTGATAGGTTAAAAGACTCGACAGCATAAACAAACACACACACACACACATCATACATTTTCCACGTGTGTGTGTGTGTACTTTTTGATTACACACTGTGCTTGTGTACCAAGTTGTTCGTTTGTTTGTTTGGCTTTGGTTTCCTCTTCTTTCCATATTTTTTTCGCCATAATTTAATTGATGTATTAGCCCATCGGGTAACATTCATCATATCGATATATTGCATATTCCAGGTATTGTTCAGTGTATAGTCTTGCAAATAAATTGAGTTTGTGATAATATTGATATTGAAATTTATTTGAAATACGATAAGAATGGTAGAATAAAAGAATTATTACTGATTAATAAAAATAACAGATGATTGGAAAGTTTGCATTTGAAAGAAATTAAAGAAAATGATAAGATAAAATTAGTTGAAATCGCCTTTCTATGCGATTTTATACTTTTTTTGTCTCACTCTCGCTTCTTTTTACGATTTGTATATATATATATAACTCTATCTATAGCTCATTCCCTCTCTTTCTATGTCTTTCTATTTATCAATATTTCTCTGTGTATCTTTCTCAATATCTAGTTATCTCATTCTCATCATCTTTCCCGTTTCATCTCTTTCTCTCTTCCACTTTCACCTTTTCTATCTATCCCTCTTTGAATTGCGCCTCTCTAAGCAATTCTCAAGTTGATCCGTATACGATTAGGCTGCGAGTTTCCCTCTAACGTCTGCATCGGATAAGCAAGCCACAAACCAACAAAGATTCTTCAATCTTAGGCTAATGCTGCTTCAGCTGCTTCAACCTGCCAAAAGACACCTGAAGCGAGAAGTAAATGCTGTAGAAATGAAGACTGAGCCACAAAACTTTTCTTCGGCTTTGGTCGGAATTTAGCTGCGCTTTAAGCTGCATAATTCACTGGCAGCAATATGCATTAACCGTTAGCTGCCGCAAGGGTTGGTGGTGAGCAGTCAGTCACAATAAAGAAGAAGAAAGGCAACGAAATGCCACAAATGCTGTTTTAATTGATAAAACAGGCGAGGGCGTAGGGGAGCAGAGCAAGGTAGAGAAGTGGGGGTCAGAGGTGGCTGCTTCACACGAAACTAAAGACGAGCGAACGAAAAAACATACGTTCAAGTGGAGCTAAACGATATGCGCCTAATACCCAGAGGCAGCCAGGGTGGGCGGAGCAGCAGCAGCAGCAGCAGCAACAACAGCAGATGTTTGTTGCTGTTTCCGCAATGCAGCAGTAGGAAATTTTGTAGCCAACTGTCCAAATCGAAATTGACCGGCGGCCAGTTGAACTTTATGCCGACATTTTTGCTAGATTTCTGTTGTACAGTTTGTGAGAATTAATCTCTCTGTGCAACTCTTGTTTTGCAGGCACATACCCAAGGCCAAGGCAACGGCGATTGCGGATACGCCCGAGCTGAAGCGCATCGCGGAAAATACGAAAATCCAATCGAATGTTAAATACCATGCAGACTTCGAGAAGGCCAAAGGCAAATTTACACAGGTCAGTTATACGCCTATATATTAATATATATATATATATATACATAGATATATATTTCCAACATGATAATTAACATTGAACTTCTTGAACGCTCGACAGGTGGCAGACGACCCGGAAACGCTGCGAATCAAGCAAAACACGAAGCACATATCGAATGTGGCATATCACGGCGATCTGGAGAAGAAGGCAGCTATGGAGAAGCAGCGCGGCTCTGCCGAGGTCTCCGACAGCAGCAGTGAGTAACCAATTTTCCTATCTCTCTCTCTCTGTCTCCATTTCCTCTCTGTCTATCACTATCTCATCTGTAAGTGCTGGCAATTGTTGGCTAAAATGCGTTTAGAGTGAAGTTAATTTGCTTTTGAATACGTTTTGAATGCGATTATCAGCAATTGTCGTCAATTCATATGCATTAAATGTGACTAAACAGATTAAATCATCATTTATAATGCTCATTAGAGCGCATTATGTGCGCACAGTGGTGCAAGTCTTCTTCGCTTGCTATGGAATGTGGTTAGAGCTCGATTCATACACCACACGCACGCACACACACACACATATATTGCAATATTTATACAGTTACCAACACTGGTTGCCATTATTATTTGTATATATACCGTTACATATAATTTACTAAAACAAATTAATTCTGCACTACTGTGCGGTGCCATATGCCAGAGCTATCTATCTCTTTCATACACTGTAATTAATTTATTGATTATAATTCCTTTGTTTTTTTTTGTTTGTTTTTTATCGTTTTTGCTTATCATTTGTTGCTCATTCATCAACTACAACAACAACAACAACAACACCACCAAATGCGCTCATAACTTGTGTGTGCTTTCTGAACTACCGTTAACCTAACGTTACACAACACTTAAAATCGCACGAACACAAACACAAATGCATAAACTCTAACTCTGGGGGAATAAACTAAAATTTAATTGGTGCAGACGAATCGGAATATTTCTCTGAGCAATTGGCAGCTGAACAATTCTCGCAATATGCACCCACAGCCTCGCCCATACCGCCAGCAACACTGCATCAGCAGCAGCACCAACAGCAGCAGCAGCAGCACCACCAACAGCAGCAGCAACAGCAACAACAATACCAGCAACAACAACACCAACACTATGTACAACAACAGCAACAAACGCTGCCACCACCACCCATACAACACCAGCAATACAATACGGCGGCCATAACGCCCACATATCAACACCAACACCAGCAGCTGCCACAGCACCAGCAGCAGCAGTTGCTGCAGCAGCAAAATAGCAACAATCACAGGCAACAGCAGCAGCAGCAGCCGCAGCATGATCCATACGCACACTATCAACAGCCGCAGGCGCTGCGCCAGCAACAGTTGCTGCAGCAGCAACAACAGCAGCAACATGCCATTAAACAATCCTCACATCTGTATCCCACAGCAATATCGCAGTCACAGCAGCTGCAACAGCAGCAGCCACAGCCGCAACAGCAGCAACAGCAGCCTCAGGCGGTTAATAGCTACAATCAGATGCGCTCGGCCATTTTGCACAATTCGCATCATCCCAGCGGCAATGCTGCTGATCAGTTCGATCACAGTCAGAACTCGGCCACGGCGCTGCATCAGCAACAGTTGCAACAGCAACTGCAGCAGCAGCAGCATCACTCACAACAGCAACTGCAACAGCCAGCAGTCCAGCAGCAACATTCGCACCACAGCCTGCTGAACAACAATGCAAGCAACGGCAGCATTCACAACACCAACAACAACAACAACAACAATGGCGGCCTGGCGCATCCGCATCCGGTCAGCCTGAGCTATACACAACAGCAGCAGCAACAGCAGCAGCCGCAGCAGGTGCGCTCGCAGTCGAGCGTGCACAGCAACAACTCCAAGCATCAGCTGCAGTTGCAGCAACAGTTGCAGCAGCAACAACAGCAGCAGCATCAGAGCAACACCAATGTGCAACAGCTGTATGTGGCATCCAACTACAGTGCGGTGACGCCATCCGAGAACGCTTTGGGCGCCAAGCTGCAGGCCAGCAATGGCCACTTGCCCAACGTATTGACCGCGCCGCAGAGCACCAACAGCATTGGCAAAATTGCCGACTATGATCCGCTGACGGATGGACCACGGCCGATGCCAGCCACCGGACGGTCCAGCACCACTCTGGTGTACAGCTCCGATCAACGCGGCGCCGCTGCCGTGGGTAAGTAAATTTGATGGTCGATTGGGGTTGGCAGGCTAGCTGGTAGTTCGGTAGCGCTCAGCTTAGCTTGGCTCGATGTGCATCAACGTCATCTTGTCCTTGTCCCCAAGTAAATCGAGTTGTGCTAATTTCTAGTCAAACTAATACGCTCATCCCAACAGGCAATAGTGTTTACCCCAAACGAATTGGCTCCATCTCGGACATAGATCCTGCCAATGGCATTTATGGCTCACTGACCAGCGCCGAGCAGGCGCAGGCCCAGAAACAGCATCAATATTACCAGCAGGTGCAACAGCAGGAGCAGCAACAGCAGGTGCGCCAAGGCCAACAGCCAGCCCAGTTGCAGGAGAAACAGTCGCGCCAAGGCAACTTGGTAAGTGATGCAATTCAATTGCCCAAGAGTGCAGCTAATCGAATACTTCTTCACTTGGTTTTTCTTTGTTGTGGCAGCGCGTCTATCGAGCCATTTACGACTATGAGGCCCAGGATGTGGATGAGGTTAGTTTTCGCGAGGGCGATGTTATATTTGAGGTGGAATCAATTGACTCCGGCTGGATGACCGGACGTGTGGAACGCACCGGCAAGACCGGCATGCTGCCCGCCAACTATGTGGAGCAGGCGGTTATATAATAGGGAATGTGCTACTACTGCTGCTGCCGCCAGCAGTTTGTGGTCATACTGGTCTGCCTGCTGTACATATTGCTCGTGCTGATCTTCTTCATCAATGTCTTTCTGGCTGATCGCAATATGCACACAAATCTAATGCGGGCAAGCGGCAATCCAATGATGGGTGGCGGCGGCGGCAGTGGCCTTGGAGGCGCGGGCATTCATCCGGGCATGCATCCGGGACACCATAATCCATACGATATGCATGGCTATCATCACTACAACAATTATCATCCACAAGTGGACCCAAAGCAGCATCAGCAGCAGCCAACACGAAAGACCCCGCAACAGCAGCAGGCGGAACAGGATATTTACTACTATTTCAACCACGTATTCAGACGGCGCTGAGATATACCCACACGCCCACACACACATATATATATATATATATATAAATACATAATTACATAAATATATATAGAGAGTATATATAGTCGACAGGCCAACAAGTAAAAAGGGGGAATGATAGCGAACACGGCATAAAAAAGTGAAAGAAAATAATTGTAAAATTTATAGCATAAAATTGAATGTTAAATTGAAACATGAAAAGGAACCATAAGCCATTTATAAGAATAATAACCGGTATACAATTAAATAATAAAAAAAAATTAAACAATTCGATAGCAGCTAAAGAATGAAAGAAAAGTTTTGTAATTTTACACAATTTCCAATTAAAGCGACCAAGCTAACCCAGCCAAAATTTTGCATTTATCTACAAAAGAACAGGCCGTAAAATTTAGAAAAATATTTATTGAACTATATACAATAACTGAATAATTAATCAACTATATAAAATGCCAGCTAACCAATAATTAATTGGGTTCCACATATGCCTAGCCAAACATTTTAATAAATTCAATTGTCACAGAATATATATATACATATATATAACAATAGCTTCTAATGGAATTAGAGTCTAGTATTTGTAAGCGATATTGAAAAACTAAATACTTGATACACAATAAAACAGTGAATGGAATAAACAATGCAGCATAGTTAGAATAATGTTCAGATCGGCAGCTATATACATATATATATATATATATATATATATGTGTGTGTAAATATGGCAAGCTAAAGTTGTGCTTTTTTAAAAAGCTTTGCGGCATTCAGATCAAAGTTGGATGCATATCCCTACAATTTTGTCAATTTAACTAGAAATCGTAACTGAAAAGGGATGAAATTATGCTCGTTGCATAAGCTAGAGCGCAGGTAGGCAAGTGATTGCGATTGATTTGCTCACCTGCTAGTGTTTTTTCTTACTCTTACTTCATTATAATACATAATATAAGCACTGGCAATTTGTTTTCGTTTCTAATAATTCTAGGGTATTTGAAATTGTTTCGTTTTACAAAATCCTTGAAGTGCCTTTAATTTGCTAAACGTGTTTTTTAGATAAACCATTTACTAGGCTTATCGTTCATCAATATACTAAACACACATATACATAGACTATATAAAATATATGACTAACGAATCGAAACGAATTTCAAGCAAGCCTAAATACCGATTGATACACAATTTGTTTTATTGAAATATATATAAATAAACTACATACAATATATGAATATTATATAAATATGTGATGGTGTTTATGGAGAAACTTTGTAATTGTTGTCATATAATATACACGCATAGTTTATAGCCAATAAATGGTATTACTCACACACACAGCTGCAAGTATGCAATAATTAACTAATATAAATATGAATATTCACACATAAACTTAAAGCATAAACAAGGCCACTTGCAATTGTACTATGAAATATGCCTAAATATTAAACAATTATATAATTAATACAACAAAAACAAAACAAACTTAACAAAAATCGAGTGAAGCAGCGCCAAAGGCTTCGTTTTCAATGTGTTACAAATAAAACTGCAAAATTACAAAAAAAAAAAACAATGTATATATGGGAGAGTTTAATGTGCGGATTTGCATGGAGTTGGAGTGAGATAATACCTTGCTCTACTGTACCGGGATTACGGTCCGTTGCAGTTACATTTTCCTATTTTATGCTGTAATCCCTTTACTATCAATTTTATTTATTATGCTGCCGCAAATCAAATAAAACTGAATTTGATTACATTTTTATCATTTCAATTTAATTCCGCCACATGGAACACGATATAAGAACTAAGGAAACAGAAATAAGACATTAAAACATTTCTGGTATTCAAGCGCTGTTAATAATGGGCAGCTCCAGCTGTCCTTCCGCTTTGTTAACTGTTTGGCTGACGTCGCCGCGAGAGCCAAGTATGGTGTCCAATATAATATTCTTGGAGTTAAGCATTGTCTCCTCGAAAAACTTAGCATCGGCGCGTTTCTCGACAGTCAAATACTCTAGCTTCTCGGTGAGCATGGTGATTTTCTCATTGGCCAGCTCCAATCTGTGAGGTAGTTGAAGTTATATTTATATTTCAAACAATGCCCTTTGCCATGACACTTACTGATTCTTCATATCTTCGATCTTGGGTTCGACACCCGCCACTGAGTTGAGCGAGCTAATCGATGAGCACTGTGACTGATTGTCAAAGGAAAAGGAATTAATCGAACCGGTTAGTGGGGTGCGTCCTAAAGCATTGGCGTACTCGGTTATACGTTGAGTGCGCTTCTTGCGATCCGTTTGCACGTCAAGGTCCTTCTCCAATTCACGTATTTTGGCTTCCATGCGAGCAATGCGTGTCTTCTGCTTGGCAATTACATCAATAGATGAGTCGTTCTTCACGCGCTCTGCTGCAAGGCGCTCATCCAAAGTTTTATTCAATAGCATCATCTGATTCTTTTCTACCTCTAGGGCATCCAATATGCCTACAAACTCCTCCTGCAAGAGTTTCATTAATTTTGTGCACGCGATAAATAATTTAATTTACCCACCTTACGAAATTCGCGACAGGAGAAGAGAAATCCGCCCGTGACGGCACGCAAATCTGTCTCCAGTTTCTTTACCATGTCCTGAAGACTTTGTATGTCGCAATCCTTCTGCTTCAGCACAGTTTCCAACTCCAGATTCATGCCGCTCAACTCCTCCATCTGACGCTTGGCAGTGTCGCGTTCCTCACCCATGCGCAGAACATCAATTCGCATATCCTCCAAACGGGTTTCATATTGAATTCGCTGACGATTTAACTTATCGTTCATGGTGTTGGCATTCACGCCATTGCAATCGGACATTTCCTCCAGTTCGTTTAAGCGTGTCTTGTATTTGAGCATGTCCTCATTGAGAGTCTTGTTGCGCACCTTAAGTGCCAGATTGCGGCTGCGCTGCTCGTCCAGCTGTGTCTGCAGTGCCGCGATCTCCTTCTCCATTGTTTCAACTTTGGCCCTGTGCAAGATCTCGCTTTTGCGCACGCCCGGTGTAAAGCGATCAAAAGTGGCTCCACCAGCGTCCCCGGCACCCAGGCTGACACTGGAGCTATTTCTACCCGGAGAATGGAGAGCCTTCACGCCGCGTGGCGTCAATTTCAGGCTGGTGGTGCTGCCTATTTCCAGATCCGAACCGAGTGGTAACGGCATAAAGTCAGCACGCTCGCCGGCACCACTCTCATAGGAATCCAGGCGTGCTTTGAGCTCTTGCAGCTTCTGTTGCAATGACAAAATTTGTTGGGCACGACCTCGCCAGTTTGCCTGATTCAGATTATTGGATAATATATTGACGTTGACAGCCTCCCCAACCTCGTGCTGCAAACATTTGTGTGCCAGCTTCAGCTGGTTCTGCAGCTCGGTATTTTTGTTGCGTGTCTCGAAGAGCTTCTGCTGCATGCTATTAATCTTTGCCTGTAGCTCCTCCGTGGCAGTGCCCTTTTTGAGTTGCTCGCCGTTCTGCAGCAACTTCTCTTCATTGGCCTTTACTTCCTTTTCCAACTTCTCGATTTGAACATCTTTCTTGTTAATGCGATTCTTGTACTGCTCCAATTCTGCGCGCATTTGCCGATTCTTTTTGCTTAGCTCTAATATTTTGGTACCTGCTATGGAGGAATTGCAGCGCAACTCGTCGATGGGCACTGAATTGAGAACTTCATTCAGAGAGTCTACCGAGCGCTTGAGAGCTGAGATCTCTTGGTTTTTGTCTGTTATGGTCTTGGACAGCGTTTGGTTCTCTTGCTCAAACTCCAGAAGCTTCTTGCGCAGCTTCTTTCCCTCAGCCTTCAGAGGCTTCGGTCTAACAGCTGCCGTACTTACGACTACATGGCAATCGGCTTTTGTATGTTCGTGCTTGCGTCGCGAGGGCTTGCGAGTCCCGACAAGCCCAATGTCCTCTTTAGTTTTCTTTACTTCTTTTGAAAAATCTTTGAACTCTTGATATGCGCCGTTATCTGGCGAAATATCCATTACCTCGAGATATCAACAAAATATAATTCAGTGGAGATGATAAATTTCGTTTGCAAGCTCGTAAAAGTGTTTGTGTGTGCGTGTTTTAATTTCACAATTTAGTAAGATATAGGTTCAATAATATTTTTGATAATTATGTTCGGCCACATAGCATTTGAGGAAAAGCAAACAAGCCATACTACAATTTCAATAACCGTTAAGCTGTCAAAACGATAACAAACTCAAGTTAACAGCAAAACAAAAGCATAACATAACTAGCGCTCGATAACTCAACAGCTGTCATTTATCGAATACGCCAACCAGTGTTGGGTAAGGCGTAGCAATCGTGAAGAATTGTGTGTTGCTGGCAACAAGATGGACGGATTCATGATGGTAATTGTAAATTTAAATGTTTACTACAAGCTTAAATAAACTTTACCACTCTTTTATTATGTAGGATATTATTAAGGGCATGTGCATTATGGATAATGACGGCAACCGCATACTGGCTAAGTACTATGACAAAAACATACTGTCCACGTTGAAGGAGCAGAAGGCGTTCGAGAAAAATTTGTTTAACAAGACGCACCGCTCCAACACTGAAATCATCATGCTCGACGGTCTGACGTGTGTTTACAAAAGCAACGTGGACTTATTTTTCTACGTGATGGGCAATGCGTACGAAAACGAGCTGATATTGCTGTCGGTATTAAACTGTTTGTATGACTCCATAAGCCTCATCCTCAAGAAGAATGTTGAGAAGCGCCTGGTGCTGGATAACCTGGAGATCATTATGTTGGCATTTGATGAGATCTGCGATGGCGGGTAAGTAGCTATTTGGACAGCTATACATAAGATGCGATTTATGTGCATTCTCTTTTTCAGCATGATTCTGGATGCGGATCCATCGTCTGTGGTGAAACGTGTCGATCTACGCAACGACGATATTCCGATTGCCGAACAGACCGTGGCTCAGGTAACTAACACACTAAATGGTCTATTTTGGTAGCACTATCACAAACAGTTTCCTAATTCAACTCTATGAACAAAAGCTAGACATATCAAATGCTCGCTCTATCAAGTTAAAATTATATGTATTTATAGCTTTGAAGCACATATATATAATATTATTTTATGTTATTTTATTTAAAAAATTATCTTTGACGTTAAACGTTTTGTCCTATTAGTTGTATTCCTTTCGTATGATTATAATAAATGTGTAGTATTGGCTCATTGGCATTATGCATTTTCTTTCTTTTGTAATTTGAACAAATGCATTAGTTAATTGCTTTCTGATGTTTTTCTATTTCAGGTTTTGCAATCGGCGCGCGAGCAGCTCAAATGGTCCATACTGAAATGAGGTCGGGTCGGTCGCAAGCGAAACCAGAATCAGTAATACTGTCAATACATTCGATTTATATCTATTAAATTTCGCCTAGAGTGTAATATACATATATATATATCTATATTTAACTAGAGACAATGTCGCTTGTTTCATATATCGTTTGCTGTATGCCAATGTACAATATAAAATACAAGCACTTCAAAAGACTACGAGTAAGCTGTAAAATGGTAATTAACAATAAAGTTTTCTAAATGTATTAGTCGTAGACAGTCTATTGTGTATGAGAAGTCGAATACCCTGTACATACAATGTCTATTGTACAACAATAAACAATAGTTGAATACAGTTTTGAAGTGTGGGCCGTAAAGTGTAGCAAAGGCGTAACTTAATCGAAGTTAATGATGTTCATTATAGTTCGATTAGGGTATATGTATAATCTCAACATCTTTATAATGCGCTCTATAAACTGAACTCTTCTAATTTTAGACGACGCAGAAAGTGTTTGTATGGTAAACTGTGGCTTATCACTTACATGGAAGATGTCTAGAATAAAATGAAGTAAATCGATTGTAGGAATGGTCAGTAAATAGGTTTAGAATTTGCCAATCCGTTTATTGACTGGGATTTAGTTATGGAACTTATATTTTCCGATTGCAAAAGGTACTTTAGACTTATAAAACACTTATTTATTTTTTTTTTGGCTTGCACTAGCTGCACGTACTTATATAGTTATATTGCGTAGCAGTTTTTGTTAGCAGTATTAAGAAATGAGGAGATTTACCTCAATGACCTGGTGATTCAATTGTTGTTTATATTGTTGCTATCATTCAACGCCAGCTCCATACATCATCTAACCCGCGTTCATGTATCGCAAACGTGTAAGTAAACTCTTTAATCAAATGATTGTCAACATTGCAAAAATTCCGATTTGCCCCACTCCAAACAGCGGAGTTCCCGCCGCTGGGGTAGATAGATAATCAACGCCTTGTTTTGTCGCCTGTTTGTCAAATTAGACATAAACAGGAGCGAGAGGCAAAATAGAGCTTTATCAGATACATGCGGCTGCAGCCTGATACGGATACATCATATATAATACACACACACACTCACACCTGTAATATTCCCTTTTGGCAGCTGTCACATATTATGGATTGCTTAGATCACGTTTCCTATTTGCTCCTATGCCATATTTAGAACCCACGTAACCTGCTGATTACGTGACTTTTCTCAGTTTTTTTTCAGTTTTTCTTTTTTTTTGCCAAGGGGCTCGCCAAATAGTATAACAATTAAAATGAGTGTATTTTTATTAACTTAAATACACAGCTTTAGCTACTTAACGGCATAAATGAAAATTATGTTAGGTTAGGTTTGCTACAGATTTTACTCTAAAGCCGTTATCCCAATGAATTCGATAAGCGATTGGTATAGCCGGACAGAGATAATGAAAAGGATAAAAGTAAATCAAAGGATAATCTAAAAGAGAAGAAAGGGAAGTGAATGGCAAAGAAACAAAATACGCACCAGATAATTAAAAGGCAAAAGATTTAGAGAAGGTAAAAGTAGAAATATAATATATAATATATAATAAATAATAGATAATGCAAATTCCTTATCCGACCCCCTAGGTAATTTTGCTACCTAACCAGTTTGGAAACGAAATTACTGATTATGATAATTTGCTTGTTTTTGTATATATACACAAAGTTGTTGACTTTTCAAGAGTTCTTGGATGACGGTATGCACTGAGTGCTTTATCAAAAAGCGATTAGCGCCATGTTCGCCTCCCCAAACTCTTTTGGCCAAGATTCAAATCGCTCAAATTTATGGCAGCGCCTCAAATCAGATTTATATAACATAAATTCATGGTTATAGAACGTAGGATCCGGTCATGTTGCTCATTTAGCCTTTTGAATAGCTGAGTAATTGGTGTTTGGCACTGAACGCAGTTAAATCGTTATTTTTCTTCGCGAGTTTCTGGCGAATCCTCGAGCTGATCTACCAATTCAGATTGTCAAGTGAAGGAGCCAATTGATACTGGGAAATGAATGGCGACTTGTTTTTCGGGTTTGTATGGTTATTGATAATTGAACTTCAGACCAAATTGTTGGCATTCCAAGCATTACTTGGTAATTATCTATACTTAACTAGACTTGTGAATTAATCAAATTATTGTGAAATTTAATTTGAGGCAACGATAAGCAGCAGGAGGTTACAATTCCGTGTCAATTTATTAGTTTTCTACACTCATTTGAGGGAATATCAACGATATCGATCTACAAAATATATATAGATGTTACTCAATTTTTCATATTATGCTGAGTAAACGGTTAAATTTTAGTTTTTGTACAAGTTTCTTCATCATTCGAGACTTTAGCAGTCCTTATGTTATCTTATGTGTCAGGGCATTTACTCTTCGGTACATATTTCATTCTTGCTTTTATTTCTTAGTCACCTGAGAAGGTTTACGAATGAAAATCGTATCCATGACTGGGCACGTTTGGGTATCGTGCGAAAACCATAAAGATTTTATGATTTGAAGGAAATTTTTTCGCAAATAGATAATAATTGCTTCATTCGCCCAGCCCCAAATATTTGACAGATTTCCATTCCAGACAAGCAAACAAATAAAGTCATATACCAATTGCGATATTGATATCAAACCCAATCACAGTGAGCATTCACTGGGCAATTAAAGAGTTGAGCGGCTGACCTTGCCCCCATGACTTGGATACCCCCTTCTGTCCCAAGTGGTCGAATGATAGCTGAGTTAACCAGCCACTTGTATTGAGTTCAACGATTTGTTGTCTGAAGAGCGAAACAACAAACAAACAATGATCAGTCTGAGTACATTTTCGGGTGGCATTGAGTCTGCCATTGACATTCATCATTCAACAGACATTGTAATCGCCCCTGAACCAAGAGCAGTTGGTTACACATACGCACCGTTGGCTGGCAACAGGTTCTCAGTGGTGGTCATAAACTATCCCATCTTATGCAGGTTAGTGATGGCAGAGCCCTCTTAGTCGGCCGATTAATTACACAGCAACAATCGACAAACACTAATCGACTGATATGCACGATATCACGAGCTGGTAACAGCTTTTGGGGATGGTATTTTAATTACATGTACTTTCAAGTGTTTCGATACTGTTGTTGTTGCTGTTGGTGTTGCTGTTTTTGTGTACCCACAAATATAAAGCTGCTTGCAAGCCATTTAATCATATATAGTGCAAATGTAAACACTAGACACTGAGTATCAGACAACAACAATTCATCAATTTGCCAGCGCCTCATTTCCGTACGTAATTCGTGTAATCCAAGCGGTTCGAGTGCATCTGCATATAACTCACGTCCACCAGGTAGAATTCCATTGGCAAGTGGGCTAACAATGTGAGTGGTAAGTGGGCCAGGGCTTAGACAAACACTGTCCTGCAATGTCAAAGCTAACGACTGAAACAATGTGATCAGGTTTGTCTCTAATTTATGATCTACTCTGTAAAGAAAGATGATCAAATGATGATGATGTTGTTGTTGTTCTTCTTGTTGTTAGCCCACAAATGGCAGGCGTGATTATAGTTGGCTAAACTCTCGTGATCTGCTTCCGCTCTCTCTCTTTCTATATCGTTCTCCCTCTCTCCTGTTCGCTACCTCTATCGATAAAGCCGCTCAACTCTCGCCCTCCCAGATAGTGTCCAATATATATGTGTATAAATTGCCTGGCTATCTTATCGTAGCTATTGTACATTCTCACTTCGTACAAGCAATTAACAAACGATTGCAGTTCGTCCACACGGCGCAGGGTTCGGGATAGGTATTTAA